GTTTTCAATGGTTTATTTTGTTTGGAGTCTAGAAACAAGCATTTGTTACTAAACACCTTATTGAACACCCCAGCCAACGCCACCGTACACCATCTTCATTAATTAACAACTTGTTTTACTTATGTAACAAGCCTTATATTCAAGATTACTGGTAGGGTTTAATTTGAGGGGGGAGGGAGGGGGGGTGTGGGGGGGGGGGGGGGGGGGGGGGGGGGGGGAAGAGTATTGCAAATGTGCAGTCCCTTAGCGTTTAACCCTAACCTTGTTTTTGAATAAGACGAGGAAACCAGAAAACCACAACACACATTGGGGCCAGGCGGAGGGGGGAAGTATATATTTATATATATATTTCTTTTATGTCACATAACAAAGACTATTTTAGCTTTATGGGAAGGTTATGAGCAATGATGATTAATTTATGATTTATGCTGCATGTGTTAATCCACTTTAGTGTATCTCATTAAACCTAATGTAGTTCCTGCAATAAATTTACCTTTTGTGAAGATTATGATGAGCAGTTAAAACCCGCATGACCATTTTTCTTGTTGACTAATTTTATTTTATTGCTGCAAATCTTCCAAGAATAGTAAAAATATTAGAAAATAAAACATACAACACCATAAGTGTAGACTGCAGACCATGAGATTATTCCAGTGAAAGTATCTGAAAAACTATGTCAATGTTAAATAATAAACACATTTATTTCTTATTTATTGTCTAGGATACCTGTTAAATGTTCTTTTTTAGCAGGTTTAAGTTTAATTTAATTCCTTTTTTACAACCAATGAGACAAATGTGTTTTGTAAATTTAGGCTACACAAATAAGATGGCTTAACTTGATAGAGGGCCTCAAACTTGAATCTTTTTGTGCTGTCGTGACAACAGGGTCTGTTGTCTTTAACAAGTGAATGGATATGGACAGGGAATTTAGTGTACCAGCATTAACTTTTCATGCATTCTTCGTGTTTGTATTTCTGGTGTTTGTTCAGGTGGTTGAATAAGTTAGTTGTGTTGCCCTGCGTCACTCTCACATTGGTCAGTGAACAATTTGATGCTCCCGGGTGCTGCTTGCTGCAAGGAGCGCTATGGTCCTTTGGTCGCCCCCTGGTGGTTGACTCTCTTTTGGTGGAGAAAGTGCTCGATTTCATATGCAGCAGAGCCTGATTTTTAAATGTTTATATTGCTGATGATCATCCTAATTTAGTCATGGCAACCAAAACTGTGATTAAGGTCAAACTCCTCACCTGACCTAGCCCAGCCCAACCAGCAACTGGTTGATTGACAGACCCTGACAGTTAGGCTTACCAACGAGCTGTATCAATGGCCTGTGCTAAATGGCCTGTTGGTCACATAACTGGACAACAGGTCATATAACTGGCCAATTATGTGGGAGAAGATAAAGTCCTGTTGTGTTGACCAGTCCCCAATGAGGCCCAATATGCCATATGGCCAGTCCACCCCTGCACTGGTCTATGGTACTGATAAATACGCCTAAATATTGAGCACCTTAGACACAACATACTAAAAATGATACTTTGTAATATATTAAAAGAGTTGCTATCCCAGTTTTATCTAATCTAGTAAACTAACATTATCTTCTTATTAAGTCATTATTTCTGTCTTACAGGGCAGCTACCATGTGTCATAGTGGCTGTTGTTTTATTTTAGGATTACTAATTCAATCATCCTCTGCAGCTTCCTGTGATAATTCAGTTTGTGTAACTCAGCAGAGCTCAGCTCTTGTTAATTAAGGTTTTGTAATGAACAATCACAGACCATCTTCTGGCTTCACCTCCTCTTTTCTAACTGCCATTTAAGAGAACATTCATAAATGGTTATACATATATCTGACAAGTGCTCATCTACCTCACCCTGCAAATGACTAGAGAGGTTCAAGTGTTTAGCACAGAAACTGTCTGTACAGGAAATACAGTCGATACGATGTACAGGAAACTGTCGATCATGATACAAAAACTAATTTCTACAGAGCAACTCTTTAAGCAATTTCCAAAACCGTCGGGCAAAAAAGCAGATGTAGGACATGAAAAACACTCACCCTGGTCACACCTAAAAACAGAAATATGTTTCACACACAAAAACACGACAAAAAGTGACTAAATGAGGGCAGTGTTTACACAGGTTAAGGTTATAGCCAGTGGTGGCCTAGTGGTAAAGGAAGTGGACTTCGGTCCGGAAGGCCCCAGGTTCGAATCCACCAACTAAAGGAAGCGGACTTCGGTCCGGAAGGCTCCAGGTTTGAATCCACTAACTGCCAGGTTGCCACTGAGATGCACTGAGCATGGCATCGTCCTCAAGCACTGCTCCCCGGGCAGTGCTGCCCACTGTTCACTTTGGTGATGGGTTAAATGCAGAGGGTAAATTTTGTTGTGCATGTTTAAGTTTAAAGGATCAGAGATGACTGACTTAGTTTGACTATTTCTGATGAATAAGCTAATGTTTTTTTAATTTTCTAGAGCATTCTTAAATTTGATGTGTATTTTTTTTTTTGTTCCTTTTTGAAATTAATTAAACATCTCCTTGTGAATAAAACAGAAATATAGTGCTATTCTTTTTGGGGAGCACTAATAGTTGTTCTTTGCTTCTGCCTGTTTTAGTGTTCATTGCTGTCATGAAGCGTTTGATGGCTGTTTGTGACAGCGTGTTTATGATATGATGTTTTGTTGGACTACTCTGCCGGGATATGGAATCACATAATTATAGACGGAGACAGATTGTGTGGAATGTGAGTCAAACGCCCTCTGTATTTGGACAGATATGATTACAGAGGCCCGGTTCTAAATCTGAACTTCAAGAACAGACCCTTACAGACCTGACCGGCTGTCCGTCTGTTTGTAGGTCACTAAGTTTCTTTTCTTATTGACAGAATGAAATATTTCTCAGTTGTTTTGTGTCTAAAATGAGACAGTAATTATATTAAAGACCATTTATACACTTTAAGCAAGGAACTTGTCATGATGATGTGTGTTGAGTACAAAGGCAAATGGGTAATAGAAAATGTGTAGACAAACCACATTGTTGTTATAATAAAAACAAATCATGTAACTGATCAAACCTCAGCTAGCAGCGAGAACGTAAATAAAATCAGTCTAAATGATGGCTGTTTAGTATTTCTCCTGGACAGAGTTTATTAGATCAGACGTATTGATTATAAACGCTGCTGATAGTGGTAAAGAGGTGGTGGTGTTGCTTAGGTATTTTCATCATCCTTTTAGTAGCATCTTAAGACATGAAGGATTCATGATACTTGGCTAATGAACAGCGAAGTACTGTATTGCTACAGTCTTAATTTTTAGTCTAGATAAAGGGAGTAGCCTCACATTCAACGGTACTTTTCATATGTGCTTGCAGCACTTCCAAAAGTTCTAATTCCATTGACAGTGACTACATAAAATATTTTACTGCTGCTTTCACAAGTGTATACTCATCTGAAGTATGAATTTCTTTTTGTCCCCCATAATGAGCGCCAGATATTCTCTTCTATGGCAAACATGTTGGGTTATCATGCTTTTACATTATCCCCCAGGAAACAGTTTTAGTGTTAACTGAACCCATATGTTCATGGAATTGAGGAGGCTGCTATAATGTGGGATAATTACCCTCAACATGAGAGATGTTGCTCAATCCCACTTCATCTTAAACAGCGTTTTTGTGCAGCAGAGGTTCCAAACTTTTTTCCTGTTGAACCCCACATTCATAGAGTTGATGCTTCATAACTGAAGTAAACTTTAATTTTAAATTTAAAAAAATATATTTACATGGCTCCTCCACCCTCTATAATAGCTCTGCACCCCCTAGGGATGGGAGGGACCCATTGATGTACAGTATGTGTCCCAGAAGGAAAGGTTGTCACAGAATAAAAGTGAAAAAGTTCATCGAGCCAATGAAACATTTGCAACATGTCACAAGACCTCAATTCGTTAAGCAATAAAACATGAGACTAGAAATAGAGTGTGGAGTAAAACGTATTACAGCATTCCACTCCTACTTTAAATGTTAATGCTAGAGAAACATGTACAGGTTAATAAGGGGCCCTAGAGGGAAGAAAATAACTCTATACTTTGTTACAAAATTGTATTTGATTTTTTTAAGTGCAATTCTCATCTGCTGTATGATTATAACTTGAGAAAACCTGCCCTTTTTTATTTTATTTTTTTAATTTGAGAGGATCTAACTAAAGGAGGCACACTTCAGAGTGACCTATTTTTTATATTGAGTGTTTGAGACATAAGAAAGTGAAAATGAAGACGTTCCCGTCATTACAGATATACAGGCGAGCATAGTTATGATGTGGTCCCAGGCCGACATTACGCGACTTTCTGTCTCTGATTTAGCACAGAAACAGGAAGTGACTGAGTGAGCACAATTCTTTCCTTGACTATTTAAAACTACTCCCCTGTCTCTGTCCCTCTCTGTCTCTCCCCGTCTGTCCCTGTGTCCCGAAGAATTCTGGAAGCTTCAGGTCAGCTAATTTTCCCAGCTGCCTCTGGTCAGTGACCCTTTACTTTGGAAGACGATCAGTTTGTTTAATGACATGTAGTTTCTGCCGTCCTCATGGAAACCACAGTGTTTATATTGGTCAGGGTAATAGTGTGAACAGCACCTTGCAAGCAACAGAGTTTTGTGTAGCCATTTTATCCAGGAGCAACTATTCAATGGTCATTGTAATTACCTTTGTTTGAGTAATCATACAACGTTGCCTTTTTAACCACAAAAATAATTTTCCCAAGGCAGCAACATCCATTTTACAGACATCTAACTCCAGCAGTCCACGAGACTCCTTCTGTGGCATCGTTGTTTTTCCAGCTTGCCACTGTTTTCCATCTGCATAACAGCTGGCTTCCATTCTGGTGTCAGCACAGAGGTGAAGGGTCACCAAGAAAGAGAGTCTGAAGTACTGTCACATGGTGTCCACAGCACAGGATGCCATGTGAACCCTCCCTCCAAAATCTTAAAATAACACACAAAGTTACTTTGAAAGAGACTTGGCTTCATGCCACCCTTATCTTTCAAAGTAATCATCACCACACTTATTGTGTAAAGTTTGGAGTTTTTCACAGAGCTTAGAAATGTTTACTCCGGCTAATGTATCAGCACAACTCAAATGTTAAAACATTTTCAGAATTACAAATCTAACTTTAATCAGAATTACAAATCTAACTTTAATTAAAGCTCAAAATAAAACAAAATAAATAAACAAATGTAAATGAAGGACTTGGTTATTCTCTATGAAATCCATCACACAGTATGGATATTCCACATCAGTTCATGAAAATTTAAGCTGCAAATACGTCAATTTGATACTATGTAGTTCAGTGAGTTTACATGTTTGACAGGACTTAAATACAGTATAAGGAAAGCAGGCTGGGATTGGAGGGCAAATTATGGTGGAAAATGATGGCAACATAGAGAATGAAGAAAAAAATTAGAATTAGTCTTAAATTAATACTTTACTAAGGTCTTAAATGCACCAGAAACAGTATCTAAACTTACAACTTTATTCTCGTCATTTGTGACTTTATTCTCGTTAACATGTAACGTATTCTCATAAACCTATGGCTTTATATTTTGTAATTATATATACTGTATTTTCCCAACTACAAGTTGCTCCAAAGTATAAGTAGCACCAGCCAAACAATGTATAATGATGAAGAAAAAAAACATATGTCGCTCCAGAAAATAACACACATATATAGGTAAGTCGCACCTGAGCATTTCGCAAACTCAGCCAAAGGATGGAAAAAAGTGTGACTTATAGTCCAGAAAATGTGGACGGTGTAAGGATATTCTACCCTTAATGTGGCCCTAATACACAGCTGTAGCAGACTGATTCAGACGTTCAAGAAAAATATTCAACGCTCAAAATGACCCAATCCTTGAACCACTCTAGAATGTAATGCAGTGTATGTTAAATACAGACTTCCACACAGTCTGTCAGGATAGTACTGTGGGTTTGTCCTCACTTGGCTGATGATCTAAGGCAGCTTGACACAGGACTCACAGACAAAGTCTGTGTTCCCAACATGTGCAAGTTGTTTTCGTGTATCACAGCTTCTGGCTTGTTGTTGTCTAACATGTTGTCGGGCACATCTGTCTGTCGTTATTCAACGTCAGAACAGTGATGGAGGCTCTGTTGTGTTGTGTTGACTCAAAGCTCATTTGCTGGAAACAAACTTCTCATTATACTCATTCACACTGTGTCTTAAAACTGATTATTGACCCTGATGATGTCTGAACGTCTACCAATAGAACTTTCTTTCTTTCGTTTTTACAGCATGTTAACTTTTGTTGTTTTTCTTATTCTTAATTTATTTCTTTGTGTTTTTTCCCTAATTTATTCCATACTTTCATCCTTACATTTATTTATTAATTAATTATTGATTTTTTCCATCCTACAGATAAAGAAAAATGTCATTTTTTTTTGTATTCCTCCATTCATTTGTCCAACTCTTTCCTTGTTTTTGTTTTTTTACCTGACTTCCTTTCTTTCTACCTTGTCATTCATTTTTTTCTGATCTTGCTTCTATTTTTGCATCCCCCATTTTTTAACCAATTTGTTTTACCTTCCTTGTAAGACCTTCTTTTTTCCTTTCTTATTCTCCATTTCAGTCCTCCCTCCATGCCTCCTTACTAATTTTTTTTCTTGTCTAACTGTCCTCCTTTCTCTATTCTCCCTAATTCTTTCTCTGCATTCGTCTTTTTTCCTCATTATCCCATCTCTCTTCTTTTCTTTCTTATTTTCTCTTTAGAAAATGTTCCAATAGGACATAGATTGTGATTAAAAAAAAAACCCACTTGTTTAAATAACAAAATAGAACTAAATAAAGCAGCTGTTATTTTGGTGTTTAAAGTGTGAATACAACGCTGATGAAGTTTGATCTGATATTATACCCTGGCTGATCACTTAAATATGATCATGATATGAATACTTAAGAAAATAATGTTATAAAGACACAACAGCCGTTTTCATGAATGTTATGGTCAGTTTATAAAGCCCTCATTACACCAGTCTTTAACTGTAATGTTTGTACAGTTATTTTATTTACTTTCTCTCAGGATCAAATTTTAACAGATATTGATTGTCCTGTGTGGACTTTCAGATCTGGACTTAAACAAACTGTTTGCCCTGAGCAGGTTTTTTTTGAGTGAGATCAAGTTGGCAGCGTAAACAGTGGAACTCGGCACAAAGAGGCGAATGCTAATTTGGTAAATTCACTTCTGGAATTTCTTTTTCTTTTTTTTTCCAAAGGCAGTGCCCTTTTCTGCCTGAGGATGATGCAGATAACCGTGAGTTTGTGTGTTTGCGTGGGGGAGGTTTAATCAGTAAGCTGTCTTGACTTGTCCAATCCCATCCTGTTTTTACTGTAAAACTCTGCGGAAGTCTGGTTTAATGAAGCTGTTTTGACAGCTCAGTTTGGGCGTGTGTTGGCAAGTAATCCCCAACTTAATGTGTTTTAAACTTTTTATTTATCTGGATTGTGACAGAAATCTTTGACCAATCACAGGGCAGTAAAAAGACCCAAGAATGCTCCTATTGGCTGCCCTTCAGAACCTGTGTAAATGCCTCGGGTGATTTTAGAATGGTGTTGTTTACTGTGTGGTGTACACTGACGATTATACACTCTCATGATTCAAACCACATTTTTCTGTCCTGACTGAAGCTCTCGATAGAAAAAAAAATACATAAAAATAGTTTTGGGCTCCAATGTAATTGAGTTATTGACATCAGGTGTGGGCCAAGGGTTGGGACGATACAGACCAGCTGTAGCTGGCTACAAACCTTTTCATGTAATAGCCCAAAATTATTGATTGTCTCGCTCCTCAGAGTCTTGACAACTTGTTCAGCCAACTTTATGAAGCTGTGATGCTGCTGGTAGAAAGAAAAGTTCTCCCAGTGTAAATGGAACAGAGACTATAAAAAAAAACCTTGTGTGAGTGCCACACCATCGATGAAGAAGGACATTCAGAGACTGGGGGAGCGAGAGAGTGAGTGAGATTGAAGGACATTAGGGCAGAAAAAGGACTGAAACAGTAGAAGCCAAACTGAATCCTGGTCTGATTGGTATGCAGAGACCAAGTCTCTCTTCATGGAGACATTCCTCCAGGAGAAGGGAGTAGAAATGGGGGAGTAAAAGAGTAGAAGTTGCTCACTTCTACTATTATATTGTAGATAACTAAGAGAAAACATCAGTTCATGGATGAAGCTGAAGTGTTTGTGTCTTTCTGTCTGGCTTAGGTGAAAAACAGGTCATGTCTCCACCAGTCACTGTGTAAAAGTCTGAGGCTCCATGGAGAGAAGGCAGAGTGGAGTGACCGCAGAAGAGTGGAGCACATCCAGATGACACAGTCTAGTGATGCTAACGTAGCAGAAAGAATGGCCGAGTGACACCTCGACAACACATCCTTCCTCCCGTCTTCCGCACTCTTCATCTGTGCAGCCATGATGCCGAGGAGGAAGCTGTGCATCCCTCTGGTGATTGCTGCCATTCTCATCCTCATGCTTGCAAGTCAGAGCATCCAGAAGAGGCATTTCCTGTCTCTGACATTGTCTCTTCCCAGCATGCCGAGCAGACAGGAGTCAGGTGAGTAAGTGAGGTCAGAATTTGTGGCTATGACCCCACAGTTTCGGCACTTTGAACGTTGGTGTGTTTAATGAACATAGAATAAAAACAGATTTTCTGAAATAACGAACAAATATTTTTGTCTGTGTAATTACTGTAAGTAATTTATCTGGACCTCATGCAACTTTGCTTTGTACCCAGAAAAGTCTTAATTATTTTAGAAGAAAACACAGGCGGAGGGAAGTGTCACTGCAGATAAACACAGCACCATATGTGCTGTTTTCTGACTCTGTTGGTTTGTTTCCAGGGCTTGAGCATACAGCACCTCATGTTGACCTTTCCCCTGACCTCTCCAAGATTCCCACCCCTGCCAAAGTCTCACAGGCCGACACCAAGAAGAAGCCAATTGAAAATGACTCCCAGAAGAGTCCGAGGTCAGATATTGCAGATCGCTGAGCCGCTCTTGTCTGTTTCCTGATTCTTTCCTCTCTGTCCTTCTGACTCAGATGTTTGTCTTTCAGGTCTTGCGGTTGTCCAACCTGTATCTCAGACCTGACGACATCAACTTGGTTTAGCCAACGCTATGACCCAAACCAGCAGCCAGTCCTGCGAGACACCATCAGTGACTTTGACCCTGATGCACTCAAATGGTGGCTGGTAAGTATAGAAGCAAAGAACTGTGTATCTGTACTCCCGCAAAATTAGACGACTAGGTCTTTGTGCTTTAGAATGTTTTCAGTTTTAACTTTTATCATGACCTTGAAAGCCTTTACGTAAAGAGAGCCAACATACAGTACTGTCAATCTGTTAGTTTGGACACTGTCCCTTCAACTGAGTTTGTCATACAGGTTTAAAATGTTCTTTGGTTCAGTTTTCTTGTATTTATTTTTGCTTGGATTAAGGCATTTACTATAATTTCATGTATTATTTAATCTCTTTTCTTTGTGTTTTTTTTTTTTTGGTCAAAGTTTAATATCAGCTGGATACAATTCAACAAACTATGCACAGAAGTTATTTACAGGCTCTACAGTTGTGATCTTCTTTTCCAATCAATAAATAAAAAAAGTGAAGTAAATCAGCCAGATTTGTTTCTAGAAGGCCAAATAGGGAAGTAAAATATAACGCACGCTGTCTTTTTAGTGAGTTTTAATAAATTATCAGGAGCTTTAATCAACATTAGTGTTTTAATGCAAACAGAAATGTGGGATGTCTTAAATTTTGTCTTAAGGGAGGCTGTTAGGATTCTGGATGTGGAGGAGAACGTCCAAATCCGTTTCCTGCATTTATAGATTAAGTTCTGCAGCAGAAACCATTAGTAAATTAAAAGGAGGGGCTGGTACAGCAACCAACAGCAGTCTAATCCACATTATGCAGCACGTTCTGTTCTGTATATCCTGGAAGTGAGTGCGTAGAATATTAATGTAAAATGCATCGTTTTGTCTAAAGTTCAGAAATAACTAAAAAAAAAAACAAGCAATATTAAAAAAAAAACACTTGATAAAACCGGTATTAATACCACACCAGGCCTGTTGATTAGCAACATTTTAATATTAGAATCGACAAGAAGAAGATGTGAAGATACGATGGAGTTTTATTGTGATATAAAATATAAATATGAGAAGAGGTTTCTCTCAGCATGTTGGCGCTATGACAAGAAAACTGCAGTACTAGAGGTACATTCAGAAGTGCAAATGTAGCTGTGTTCAATCTTTATTAAGAAGAATATGATAGATGCCAGAAGATAAAACTGTTTAAGGAAGTCATGAAATGTGTGACACGATTGACAGATGGGTGCAGGATAGAGCAGTGGTTCCTGCCCTTTTTTGGTTTGTGACCTCATTTTGACAAATTTCTTTTGACACCGGAAACATTTTTTTTTTCATGATGGTTGAACAGTGTTGCAAATGCAGATTAGCTAGATTTTATTTTCCCTGATCAAATGTGCAGTTAGGCTAGGTTGTCTTTACAAGGATGAAAATGAATACTGAACAATCTCTCAAACATAAAGTTATGAAGAGAGCTGTTGCAACATCTTGAACTGGCAACAGTAAAGATGTGAAGTCTTACAGTGCCTGAGTTTCAGTGTCAGGTTGTCATGTCTCTTGTGTCTTATTACTGTATTTGTCAACTCACCACATTTAACCACAACAAGCATCTACAAAAAACATGTGCAAATGTGCAGGGGTAGGTGGTCAGGCAGGAGTCTCTGTAATGGTGAAGTTGAGGTCTGCACTAAAGATGAAGTAATAGCAAGTCATGAGAGTGAGTGAGGAACTGGAAGTTGAAGAAGTTAGGTGTTCAACACGTGGCTCACACAGGTCAAGGTGTCTAAGCATGCTAAAGGAAACACATGTGAAAGTATTATTTGTTTCTCACCTGGTCAGGGTCTGCAGCATTCCAACAGAGAGTTGACTCTGGAGAAAGTGATGTCAGACATGTTCAAGGTCATCTCTCCACCTTCTGAAGACTTTAAGCCCTTCCTTTCACGATGCCGCACCTGTGCAGTGGTCGGCAACTCGGGCAACTTGCAAAAGTCTGGATACGGCAACCTGATTGACACCCATAACTTGGTCATCAGGTTAGTGTTGTAGACACACAAATATCAGAATATTTTCTTCATATGACAAACACCTTAAGTTTTTTTTTATTATTATTATTATCGTTTTCCTCAGGATGAACAAGGCAGTGACTCGAGGGTTTGAGCATGATGTGGGGAATCGGACCACGCATCACTTCCAGTATCCAGAGAGTGCGTTGGATGTCGGTCCTGGAGTGAGCCTTGTCCTGCTGCCATTTAAACTCAGAGATCTGGAGTGGCTGACGAGTGCACTGTCCACTGGCGAGATCAAAATGTACAGAAATATCCAAGACTCAAGATAGTGTACATTTGTGTGCATTATTTATTTACCACAAAATACTCTCTTGTTATAGTGAAGTATGTTGAAGTATCCATTGGATTTTTTTTTATGTGATTTTAGGACCTACATGAGGGTAAAAGAGAGAGTGGTGGCTGATCAGGATAAGGTAAAAAAAAAATCTGTTATTATGTCACATTGTACATCTAGTAATTGCTTTTTTATTCTTTTATTGGAAGTTTTAATTTGAAATGTTTCTTCTTTTTTTTTACCTCTGGTACTACTGAGAAACAGCCACTCCCAGGTCACAATTCTTATATTTTACAGGATTAAAAAAAGCTTTAACTTTCACCCTTAAAGTTGATGAGAATTTGTCTTTCAAAAGTCAAAAAGGAACTTTTGTCCTTAATTTTAGGAGGTGTGCATTCATTCATCTCAGAGAAAACATTTAACAGTTTATTCTGTTATTGCATGTGTTCAGGTTTTGGTCATAAACCCGGTCTTCCTGAAGTATGTGCATGATCGTTGGACAGAGTATCACGGCCGTTACCCCTCCACAGGAATGCTGGCAATCATCTTCGCCCTACACACCTGTGACCAGGTACATAGGACAATCCACAGCATTAATATTTCAGTTTTTTATTTCACATTTTTATTCTGATTATTATCGGGTACCTGTCGATTAATCAATATTCCTTAATATGACAGAAAGACAAATAACAACAGGTAGAAGTGTGTTTCACAAGTTACATTCAAACATTTCTATTTTTTCTTTATGTATTCTTATTAATACAAAAAGTAAAAAATATACGTTTATAAATTATGTCCAACAGACTCAAGTTAGAAAGACTTTGTTCCGAACATTTTTTGTTCATATTTCTATGGTTTATGTGTGCGTATTTGGTAACATATTGTAGAAAAGAAGTGGATATCAAGTCAAATCAGGAATACCAAAGCTTTGACCGAGCTGACGAGTTATTTCAAGTCAAAGTTGTTTTTTCTGATTATACCAATGCCACTTGAACCTTATACACATAGTATATAAATATATATCATCTATATATATAGATATATATATATCTATATATATAATTAATTTGCTCAATTACCTAAACATGGCCACAGATATTCTACTGTAGTCCTTGAACGTATCTCTGTATACCATGGTTAACCATATGCAGCGCAGTGCACTGTGTTCGCTGCAGTTTCAACTGTGACCACATGGTTATCATTAGCGTCCTTTCTGTGCTCAGGTGTCAGTGTTTGGTTACGGAGCGGACAAGCTGGGGAACTGGCATCACTACTGGGAAGAGAATCGTCATGCTGGAGCTTTCAGGAAAACGGGCGTCCACAACGCTGACTTTGAGACAGAGATCATCCATCAGCTGGCCAGTGAAGGTAAAATCAGTCTACACCAGTGACAGGAGAGGACCTGCTGACTGACAGTGTGATGAAGGGCCACCACCTGTCAGTGGAGAGTTGAAAACAAACCTAACTTGAAATATATTTCCCACTGGGGGGTACAACATTCTGGAATAATTAATGGCAAACCATAGACTGGAAAGGAACGAAGGTGTTCAGGTGTGCTGGACTGAGACCACTGTATCTGTGTGGGATTACCTGTGGACAGAACATGTAGAGGTAGAAGAAGGCGATCAGCTGACCAAGTGGACGTCCTGTAAATCTTTTCAGGAGATTTTTTGGTCTCATTTATTAGAATCAAGTCCTAAAGAGACATGAGGTTCAAAAATGATGGTTCCATTTAGATTATAATTTTGGCACATCATACTGTATGTGTAGGCTTCAAATTCAGTTGGTTTTCCTGCCAGGAGAACATTGACATAATCAAACTTCAAGTTCTAAAATGAAACCGGGCTCATGTTGGGCCAAAAAAAGGTTGGACTTCACCCTGGACCACTGACTGGTTCTTCCAGTCCATCTCAGTGCCAATACAGAAACAGAAAAGCTACTTACACCTGACTGCATGTCTTTGGACCTAGTATGAAATAGTTAAGAGAACATGAGAGAACATGCAATCTTCACAAAGGAGCTCTCTCTTTGATGTCATTTCCACTCAACTTGGGAAAATATGACAATTCTTTTTTTTTTTTTTTTGGGGGGGGGGGGGTATGTCCACTTTGAGAACAGGTGAACCGTCCTGCCGTCACACAATGACGTCAAATCGATCTTTTGATTGTTGCTCTGAGTGGGAAACAACCACAGACTTTTATATAAATATATGTTTGTATTAGATCTGATAATTGTTATACAGGGATTCCCTCTAGTTTTTTAATCAAAGCACTTTGTCCTGGAGGAGAAATGACACCACAAGGCCACGATGCTCCTCCTCTGTCAAAGCAGCCATCTCAGCATCGGTCGTCTTAACCTGGAGGATCGTGACTGGAAACAGTTACAATCGTTACGGATGTTTTCTTTTCTTTTCATTTTTTTTTCCTAAACGAAATTTGAGGTTCATCCTTTAATTGTTGATTATTCAACAGTCGGTTGGTTATTGGTTGAGTGAGCTGATTTAGAAACATTTTTCTTTGCATTTAAATATTTTGAAAGTTAATCTGTGTTGGAAATCAATAGGTAACAGATTTGGTGCAAAGTGGTGATGCCAAAAAACTGTGAGTGACATCTGAACTCTGTGAACTCTGGATACTTAAAAGTCTGATGGTTTAGGTTTAAAGCTGCAGTGCGTGACTTTTAAAGAGGGACTAAACCTGTCAGCTCTGAAAGACTGTCTTCATGTTTCCCATCTAGCTGTGTTTACGTCCTGACATTCCCAGGCTGCTCACAGCCGGGGATTTATTTAGCTTAGAATAAAGCAGACGTGGAGGACGACTGGAGGGACAAACAAGTGAAGCAAGATGGCTGTAAGAAAAACAAAAACAAAGGAAAGCTGGACGATCAAGGGATTGTTGTTTGCTTCCATAGTAAAAACATAAAAACATAATAATAATCTCATCTAATATTTAAAAACTAAAACCCACTGCAGCTTTAACAGAATCACAGCTGAATGATGTGACACAGACATAAGTCGTGATCAAGTTTGAACTAAAGATTTATTGATGAAAATAACCAAGATGATGTCATACAATCAGAAAGATTTTCACTAAATGCCACTTGTACAGAGTGCAATGATTTAGGTTAAAAAAAAATCGAGAGTCCGACCAAAAGGCTTGACCAACCATGTGAATGAAGGACTGACCAGAGAAGTGAGTCAGCTGACTTCTCTACTGTGAATGTACGAAAGACACATCATCAATGGTGGAAATGTGTGTGGCTTTGTTTACACTGTGAAGAGTTTAGGAAGTTTTCACTATTGAGGTTTTTTTGTGGGTTTGCGTTATCTTACGAAGTGTGACATCTGTGCCATCTGTGGCTGTAAAACCCTGTTGTCATTATTGCATCGATGTTGTGCTTCCTGTTTATCAAGGTGTTGGAAAGAGCAGGCAGCAGCCTTTAAAGAAAAAAAGATATTATTTTAAAACTTTCTTTTTTGCTATCCCAAGTTATTATGCAGGTTTCTCCTGACCAAAGTAAATATACAAAGTATTATTTCCTTTTAAATCTTTTTTGCACCAGTACGCCTACTGACAGCCAATATTTGCGCTCAGGTTCTTTAGCTAAATGCTAATTGAAATGGCCTTAAGTTATGTTTGTTAGTATGAATCAGTAGAGCTGTCTTAACCATATCTACATTCAGGATTATCGTAGAACTACAAATTCAACACTATTGAATATTTATGTTTCAACTTAATTTTTAGTTAAGACATTTTTTTGACCGAGTTGACCTGACACTGACACAAAATCTATACCTTGAATGAAGTCCAGGAAACAAGTCAGAGTTTGATTTTTTTTTTCTGTGAAAATAGGTTTTTTTGGAGCAGCAGTTTCCCAAGTACAATTTAAGTTATAATAGCTGCAGTATTGTTACCCCATAGCTAATAGCCAATAACAACATTTCAAAACTTAAAATATAATTCAGTCTTATATTTTATTGCTTTTACTTGTCACTTTTATTGATGTACTCTTGGTTATGACAATTCTTCTAACTTGATTTGTGTTTAATTTGTACCTTTTTCTTAAAATGTTGTCACATCTCACATAGGAAGGTTCCACGGTTCTCTGCCAATGTTTCTTTAATTTGTTAATTTTATATGGTTCAAGATGTCTGAACTTGTCAGTCTTGTGTGATTAATTCATTGACCAGTCAGTCACAGTTTAGCCTCAGTTATTCCTCATCATTAATCCTGACACTGTTAATTCCAAGTTTGCAGCAGTGGAGTTTTTTTTTTATGGTGTTTTTATTGACCACGTTGAATTCAACGAGCACTTTGTTAGAAGCAGACCGAGGCCTTATAAATAATCCTAAATGCTGAATCATCATCTGGAGGCTGTTGCTCTGTCGGCTTTGGCTGCAGTTTAGAAAGCAGTGTTTCAAATTCACTCTTGTTTTCCTGGAGCGAGGCTCACCGTCTCCTCAAACAGACTGCTGACTCACCGCTGGCTGTCCTGGTCAATTTGATTTTCACACTTTTTATTCACCTCTACGGGAGCTCACCGCTGCCCAGCTGTAAAACGGTCTGACTGAGTGGACGAACAGCACCATGGTGTGATATAAACCTTAGCTCGGCCATTAAATGACAGAGCAGCAGCTCTCCAGCGTCCAGAGCTGGATTAATGTATGGACGAAACCTTTCTCTGTTTGTGTTTTAAGTGGTCCTAGACAGATTTATTTCCTCACGTTCTGTTGTCCATAGATAGAACCTTAAATTCCCACTGTAGCGATCAATGGACAGTATTTATATCAGGGACATAAGATACCAACGACTCAGCTCTGTTTAATATCAGTGTAATAAACTCTCACTCGGAATTATCAAACCCCCAAATCGTAAATTGTGTTCTGGCGAAATTGACTGACCTGCAGCAGTGTTTGTCACAGCAGAAGGAGACCTCTGCTTAGGTAAGAAACTCTGAATGTCTCCAGAGCTCCAAACAGTACTGTTATCTCAAAGTACACCGAGCCGTTAGCTGGAAAAGTAAACTCTGGTTAGCTCACCACATTGCGAAACTGCATTATATGGAAAGAATGTTTGAAATAATAATACAAAAATGATCCATTATGCTGTCTGTAAAGGCATTTGACAAGTTCTGGACTTGTTCTGGACTGCCACCGTCTCTTCAGAATTGTGGTTCGCCCAATAATAGTTTGGCGGTCCTGTACATTTTTTTAGTCAATGTATGGTCTGGACAAAAACAATCAATCTGCAACATAATCACATCTAAAAATAAGAATAAATAACAAAAAAAAGGACACTCGTGATGTAAAAAAAAACAACAACGTAGTATTAAAGCTAATATCCAAAAATAGTTACACTGAGGGGAACTGGACAGAGTAGTTTTTTTTTTTCTCATCCAAGAGGCTTCTTCAGTTCTTCTTCAGTCCCAGAACTGAGGAAGCCTCTTGGATGAGAGGTGAAACGTCTTCAAAAAAAATTCCTCCATCCAGTTGCCGATGTAACTATTTTTGGATCAATGACCTGGATGACTGAGAACCTAGACAGACTAATAAAATGTGTCAAAGAGTAATTTCAATATAGAAATTCATTTTATTTACATTTTGTTACAACTTTTTCAATACCGCAATATGTCCAGATTTGAGAGGATGAATGTATGTTATGTTATTTTTACAGATTAAAACAAATATATCCTAGAAAAAAAATAATGGACGCTGTTGTGGCTGTTTTGAAGAGACTGAAAATTAAACATTAAATTTATATATTTAACACTAATGAAAAAATAGAGGAAAATTGAAGTGTCCATGTCTCAATTCTCATTGTCCACAACATATTTGATTAATGTTTTACATATGTAAAGATGATTTTCAATAAAGTTTTATTTTGTATGATGCAACACGTGCCAGTATTTTCAAGATAGATACCAGGTAAGAAGATCTCTTTTACCTTCTATGTTAGCCCTACTGTATTTCCTTTGCATTTTGTACATACCCAGCAGTGTGGCAACAGGTGTCCATCTTTTTCCCAGAATCAGAGTATGAGGAAAAGTTGGCACAAGCTGTGGAGGATCACGGACACACAAAGGCATATCATCAGCCACCAGATCACCGAGACCCTAAATACAACAATAAAAGGTAAACTTTCTCCTGTCAGACTGCATACATGACTCTATTGATTATCACTACCAATACAGCTACTTTTCCACTTTAAAGAAAGTAATTTTAAGAAATAGACTATAATAATGTCTATTATGTGTATCTGTCACACTTGCATTTTTGCATGATAGTAAGACTATAGTCTTACTTTGTAAATATTTTTGAAATATTCAGATAAAATATTTTTTGCTGTTTTAAGCACAAATTATTCATTTGGAAGCATGTTTTAGAGCATAAACTTGCATTTAAAGGCATTTCTGCGACTTTATTTTTTGCATTTTTTTCTGATAGTAA